GGGGGGGGGGGGAGGTGCATGTAGAGAAAGAGATGGGATGTATGAGCTGTCCAAAGCAATGAACCAAAGGTATGCTTTTCTAGCGTTGACACAGGTGGGGACGGCCCCTGTAGATCACCTGCAGCCGCTGAGGAGACCTAAGGGAAAAGTGAGGGTCCCACAGTGGAGCCCTGCTGCTTTGCTCTCTGATACTGTGACATCGTTTAGGTGTTTGGGCTAAGTGCATTTGTGGATTCTAGAGTCTATTTAGAATCTTCGTGTTTTGTGAAAGAATGAAGGTGACCTTGTAATATTTGTAACTCAACACAGTTCTTTATTTTTCATTTCCTTCCAGTATTGCCCCTCTTAGACCGCCCTCTACGTGTTATTTAATGAAGAAGCACTCAGAAGGGTGGTGGAGCGTAAGATGAGTTAAGCGTTTTTCTTTTACAAACAGCTCATGCTGGTTTGTTGTCAGTGGTAAGCTCCCAGATAGATATTATTTTTAAAAATTGAGCACACTTAATCTGTCTTTAAGGCAAAGAGTGGTACTTTTTCAACAAGCGGAAAAACGATTTGTTTTGGAAAGAAACTAATATAGGGTGTTTTGAAAGTGGACGTAGAAATGTTTGCATCATTGTGCGTGTGTGTTTGTGTGTGTGTGTGTGTTTTGATGTTGCTGAAAATTATGTAAATATATTATACGTAAAAACTGTCCTGTATACTTAAAACCATTGGAAGCTGATTTTTTAGCATGTTTAAAAGTCAAATGAAGAGTCTCAGTGGCTTTTTGAGCTTATTATTCATAATGCAGTACTCTCCCATTAGTACCTTACAGGAATGAGTTTTTGACATAAAAGAGGGTAGAAATTTAATTGAGCCAACAAAAACTTTTGCAGAATTGTTAGTTGAAAAATGTGTGTCATGATTTGATGTTGCAAAGTATGCACTTTTTATTTTTTTGGATAGACATCTTTGTGATACATGTTTTCCAACTATATCAGCTATGACAGTTTACAATCAAAAGAAACCAAACTTAAATTGGATTTTCAAATTGATGTAGCCAAGATACCAGATTTTTCAAAAAGAAGGAAACTATTTAATCACCTTGACTCCACTATTATTAGTGATACTTAAAACCACTGTATATTATCATAACGAAAATGCTAAAACTCATATAATGTTTACTGTATGCCAAACGCTTGTTTTACGTATATTAACTTACTATTCTTCATCAACATTTAGAGTAGTTACCCCAACTACAGAATTGAAAATGAGGCACATTTTCTTTTTTAAATAGAAACTTAGATTGTATTGCTCCTCATCAAGAGCTTCTCAAAACAGAGGCCAGGTACAATAGTAAATACTGTTAAATAATCATTGAAGTACAGTATAGGTCAGCAAATGTAAAGTTTGTCTTAGCTTATCTTAGAATATTATCTGACAAATTTAATGAAATGTTAATGACCATATTTGTAGAAAATGCCTCGGGGATGAATGTGAAGTGTGAAATTGGGAAGTAAGTGATCTGCCAGTCATAGGATGAGAAAATTAGGTCAATGTATTAAATCAAGAAAATTGAAATTTAAAATTCTGTGTACAGAAACAGTCCAGCCTTTAGTTTATCTTTACAAGGCTCTGGTCACATCGTGTTTGAAATATTATCAGGCTCAGTGTCATTACATGGAGCTTTGTCTTCCTTGTAGAGGTTTCTCATTTGTCAAGTAGATTAAAATCACCTCACGTAAGGAACACTTAAGAAAGTATCAATGTTTATCCTAAAGAAGAGAAAATTAAGGGAGCAGAGAGTCATTGTACTCAGATATTTGAAAAGCTGTCATTTGAAGTTAAATAGGACTTTACCTGTGTTGCTGTACAGGAAGATCTTACAGTGTGGTTGAGGAGTAGTCGTATCTATATAATGATTATATTAAAGCTGTGAAGTAGGAATGCCCTGTCTTGAGTGTCATGCAAGAGAGGGAGTAATAAAGTAGAAATAAGAAGGAAGCAGTGCAGAAATTGGAGTGCCGTGGAAGTGAACATTTGAGAAACAGAAGACAGGGAAAGGCTGCATGAAATTGGGATTGGAGCTAGGCCTAAAAATACCAGCGGGCAGTTGGGTATCTGAGTATGGGTGTGTGTGGTGGAGGATTCCATGGTAGAGATAAACATTTAGAAATCCTTTATGTGATGAGGCAGGAAATCATGGGCTATGAACTAGACCTCTTACATTGACAGAAAAGAGGGAAATGTGGAAAGGGAGAGGCGAGCCACCATTTGCTGGTGAGCAATTTGATATGTGATTGTATTTACTCAACAACAGCCTTGATAGGCTTGATTTACCTCTCCCTTTTAAAAGGTTAGGAAATCAAGCTTAGGGAGGTTAAATAATCTGCCTGAATTCATAAGCCTCATAATGGGTAGAGAGGAGATGCAAACCAGATCTGAGCCCAGAGCTCTTTCTACCTCATCACGTCATGTTGAGGGCATCTGTAGGGATGAGTGTAGGAAGCAAAGGAAAAGGAAACAGCAGTGATGTAAGTTTTTCAGTCTGATGGACCAGAAGACTGGTGGCACCTTGAATTAACAAGGGATTTATAACTCAGTGTGTGTGATAACCTGTTTTGGTTATGGCCTGTATAAGAAGCAGTGGTACGTTGAGTAGGAGAGTTCATTAAGTCACTGGAAAAGCAGAACTTGATATGCAGATGTTCACATTTGGAACTTTGGTAATATAGAGGCCAGAGAAGATGGACACCCTAGGGGATGTGCTAACCACTGCTTTCAAAAATCTAGTCCATGTTTTCTGCATATAACCAGAGGATTGCAATTGAGTATCTAACTGTATCTTGATAATTTGAATTAAAAAAAAAGCTTGCTTTTATACGTCTTATTTTCTTATAGCTGGTTTTTAATTTGCTATTATTGAAATTGATATAATTATATATTTTCTCATTAGTCTTCTCAGATATTTTGCTCCATACTATTCCTATTTGTGTGTGTCTTTTACTGTATTTTCTACTCTATTCTGTTTTGTTCTTTATATTGTTAGTGAATTTCTCAAAAAAATTTGAAATCAAGTTTCCTATAACTGCAGGAGTGAAGGGGAAGCAATGCAGAAATCACAGTGCCATGGAGACATACAGCTGAGAAACAGAGTGACAGGTACACAGTGTTGCTTTTTAAATGAAGAGGCTAACTTTATTGACACGTTCTGTGTACACAGGAATGTGGGCTGAGCTTTATAGTTTTCACCTCTTTTTTGTTGGTTTTCTTTTTCCCACCAGGTAATTATGATCAAAGGATATCATCAAACCCACAGATAAAGCATAGGACTACAGTTCAACGAAGCAAATCCTCATCATCCACCAGCTCTCCAGAGGCTGCAAGAAAAGTCCATCCTCGACCGAGCGATAAACTTAACCCTAAAACAATTAACCCGGTAGGTACAAAGAGATTCCTGACTCTGTAGGTTTTTCTAAGGAACACACACTCAGCACACTATTGAACCATTTGTGTTGCTGAGTAGCATGCTGCACTGGAAAGTTGAAAGTGGCTTGAAAGTCAGGGTGTTCATTTGCCTCTGACCTGAGCAGGGTTAAAATTGATTAGATATCACAAAGTGGAGGTGATAGTAATATTTAATGTCATGTTTTATTTCAGTTTGGAGAACAGTCACGAGCCCCATCTGCATTTGCAGCTGTTTACTCTAAAGGTGGTATCCCTTGCAGGTAAAATCAATACAAGTTATAACTCCCCATGTTATTCAGAATCATTGAGTAAAGCCAATACACTATTCAGTTTCAATGTGTTGAAAGTTTTATTTACTAGGGAGGTTGAAATAAAGGTGACTTACACTTTTGGGCTTTGGGTTGGTATAGATCCTGGGACATTATTGAAGAAAACAATTTTAATTCCAAATAGAATTACCAATAAGAATATGATTTGAAGTTATGGTTTTCCTACGTGCTACAAAATCATAGTAGCATGGTTATGTTCTAGAAAGAGAGTGTGTGTGTTAGGTAATCACTGCTTGACGTTTTATAACACTGTCCTCCTTACATTCACCGGTGTGTGTATTTTAGGTTGGTCCACGGCGCAGTAAAACACAGGTTGCAGTGGGACTGCCCCCCTGAAAGCCTTGCGTTCGATCCTCTACTCATTACTTTAGCCGAGGTAAGGTGGCACCCATTTCTCCTGAGCATTTTGGGGGAGTCTTTTAAAACTGCAATAGATGTGATTTTGTAACTCATCAGTAAATCTCATTCTTTTCTTGTGAAATCGGACCCTAACAGTAGGCATTAAAACACTTTTCACTCTCTTAAGAACTAAATACAATTGGCACATGGTGGTTGGAAACTAATTAATCAGCTCTATAAATATGAGGTTAGTCTGCACAGGGGTTTGTAGATAAGGGGCTGAAATATTCAAACTTAACTCGAAATATAAAAGGACTTAGAATCCTGATGTGGAGGAAGATTTTTGTTCAACTAGTCAAATCAGAAGAACATCAGTGGTTTAAATTCAGCTACATCAGATAACAATTTCTCTGTACAACCAGTCCTGCTTAACACTATGTGCTTCTTAGGAAACTGGTGGTAGCTACCTCACGTTTTTTCGTAGAATTCTCCAGGGTTTTGCCTACTTGTACATTTTAAGTAGGACTCTATGGAGGTGTTTTTATACATGATTTAAAAAAAATCTCCAGATGGGTTCCTTTATATTATTTAATATTTGTGTCAGGAAAGCAAATTGTAAAATCGTGGTATAGGTAAAGGGCCCAGTAGTCAGGCATTCACAGAGGTCCACTTATAAGCACCCCGCGGGTAACTGGGCCTTTCGGGCTGTGCTCAGGAGTGTGCACAGAATGCACCTAGAGTCCTAGTGCCTTTCTCTGCCTTTTCTCCACTTTATTTCTTCTTCTTTACCTTTCTTCTCCCGCCCCCTCTCTTCTCCCTAACTTTCTTTCCTTTTTAAAATTCTCTGTTTTTTGTCTCTCTTTTCTTTTCCTGTTTATTTTTTCTTATTTTTCTTTTCTCCTTCCTTCCTTCCCTCCTTCCTTCCTTCAGATGGAGATCTTTTCTATCTCATGTATATCTTTTATTCTACAATTTATCTGTGTAATTAAAATTGTAATTACTGAAATTATATATCACGATTAGGAAACGAATAACAATAATAATAAAAAAACTTGGTTTTCACTTGCACTAGTAAGGATTCAATGTTTCTTGTTAGCATCATCAAATGGGTAGTAAATCATGTGGGTTTTTGTTTTTTGTGTTTTCTTTGGTCTTTGGCAGGGTCTGAGAGAGACTAAACATCCATATACCTTTGTCTCAAAGGAGGGTTTTAGAGAATTACTTCTGGTTCAGGATGCTCCTGAAAAAGCAGTGCCTTTGCTTCCTAGACTGATTCCTGTGCTAAAGGCGGCTCTGGTATGTCCTTTATTCTTTGGACTTTCTGTGATACATTTAGGATATTTTATGCTTTTTCTTCTAAATTCTATGCAAATTAACTTTATTACCTGTGATTTTGATGTGTTTGCAGAATTAGGTCACTGTTCTTCAGGGCCAGATGATTACTTACTTGAAAACACCTTTAAGGGGATGTGCTAATGGTAAAATGGGACATTTTGAGTAATTAGAGAAAGTCATGAACCTCAACGCAGTCTTTTTGCAGGTCACAATTTCTTTTTTAATTTTTTTATATATCTTTACTGATTTCAAAGAGGAAAGGAGAGGGAGAGAGAGAGATAGAAACATCAATGATGAGAAAGTCATTGATTGGCTGCCTCCTGCACGCCCCCTACTGGGGATCAAGCCCACAACCAGGGCATGTGCCCTGACCGGGAATTGAACCCCGATCGCCTGGATCGTAGGTCGATGCTCAACCACTGAGCCACGCCCGGCTGGGTACAATATTTCTTAATGTTCAGTCAGGGTTGACATTCATATGTTGCTTCTATATGTCCTGCATTAAAGGTTATTTTTTAAATCCTGGGTTTGGTTGATTATCTCGTCATTTTGAATAGTCAGTCTCACTTTTTTCTCCCTGGTTTGCCCTATTTCCTAACCCAACCTTCCTTTCTTTGTCTCTCCCTCCCATTTCTATCCCTACACCTCTGACCAACCAATACTGCGCAGGCCCATTCGGATGACGAAGTGTTTGGAAGAGGGTTGAGTGCTCTGGTACAGCTAAGTGTCGCTGTCGGACCTCCTCTGAGCCCCCACCTGAAACATCTGCTTACAAGTGTAAGCACTGAAAAGATGAGAGTGGTTGTGGATATGTATCATGCGCTGCCGGTATCTCTTCATGATGTAATGGCTCCAAGTGATTCAAACCTCAGTAAAACCAAAAAACAAAAACAAAACTCATCATCGTAACCAAAATCATTCTAGTTGTTCATAAAACATTTGACTAAGGACAGTATACTCCTTAAGTGTTTTTAGTGGAAGCGCTTACATGAGCAGAATTTAGGGCTGCAGTGAGAGGTAAGCAAAGGTGAATGCATACAAATTAACGAGCAGCGTAATAGCATGGTGCCCATGTTGACTGGCTGTGAGTTATAAGCGGGGCTTAGCCACCCTCTTGTGTTACTATATATTGCCACTGCCATGCTTTTTATCCTTTTATCTTTTTGTTTTTTATTGTAAGTTTTGTAGTGAGTCTGTAAATAGCACTCAGGATAAGACTTTTTCCTGCTTTATGTAGTTTAATTCTTATCACAAATATACAGTGGGACACTGAACTGCTGTTTCCCTTTCTGCTCTGTGAGTCTGTCCTCACTCACCTGTACTCTCCCCTGAAGTCAGAGTTCCACCTGCAGTCAGAGGCCCATTCAGGACACACCTAGGGACATGTCTTGTGGCTTCTGGCTGATTCCTCTGTCACTGTTACAGAGTCACTCATGCAAATGCTCTTCTGTGTTGTCTCTTCCCATTTTTACTATTGGAGACACATGTGTTTTGGAGGCTTAGCTTCCCATCATAATTCTCCAAATGCTCTTGAAAATTACAAAATAGAAAAATACGCAGTTTCTTAGAAAACTTATTCTGGGTACCACAGATTTTGTAGGATTGGTATTATTTGAAATAATTAAATTAATAGATTTTCCCCCCATTTTTTCAATGAGATGTTTCCTAAAAGAAGACTTGAAGCCTAAAATTAAGTGGTGTTCAAGAACTTATTATGCAATAAGGACTCAATGACATAGTTTACTTGCATTACTATTTTAAATCATTTCATCTCCCCAATCTTATCTTTAAAGCTTTTCAAGAGACTGAGGGACAAGAAGTTCAAAGAGCCGATCACCAGCGCGCTACAGAAGCTGGAGCAGCATGGCGGGAGTGTGAGTAGGACAGTCTCCTTAAGTCACGGTGCTTTCCCACCTTCAGTCATAGTGCAGAACTGACTGTTGTAACACATGAGCTCATTTCAGCCACAAGTAAGCTGTGGACCTGATATGACTATTTCTGTGTTAGAGCTCTGAGTTTCTGTCTTCCTGGGTCACAGTTTCTAAGCCCTGGGATTCCGGCCTGGGTTGTATGAACACAGGGCCTGTGCACTTTCACTGTGTTCACTGTGTGGCACTCCATGGGGGGCAGCTTTACAGGTGGTTTTATTTTGGGTGTTTTTGCTTTGATCATTTAAAGCAAGGAAGCTCGCGCTTGCTTGAACGTGAGCGTGTGTGTGTGCAGCACTCGGGTGACTCAGAAGGTGCAAGAGTGTGGTGTACCTAGAGTGCGTTTTCATCTTTTGAAAGAAGTGTTCAGATAAGCTAGTCTGGAAATATTTCCATGAAGCAGTATTCCCATCTTGTTTCGGAGCTTACATTTAATCAGATCTTAATGATGGAGTTGCATATGATTATCTTAACATAGCAGAACTTAGATTCATTCTAGGTACGTTCAAAAGGAATTAATTATAAAGAAATGTGTATGATAGTATAGTTTTAAAACGGCACCTGTTTTAGTTTAAGCTTTGCCTAAATTACCCAATTTGACCAATTTCAGTGACTTTTTAAATTGAAGATATTCTTTGCATGATGAATGCCTGGAATAGTTTGTAAGGAGGAAATAATTCCCAAGGCTGTAGATCGTGGGTTTCTCTGTTGTGTGTGGGTCTGAGGCAGAGGGTTAGCATTCAGACACCGTGTGGTGATGTACACAACCACCTCCTAGCCAGTCCTGCGTCTCTCCTCAGCAGAAATGGAATTCTTACTTGCAAATGTGTTTGCTGCTCTGAGAGTTGGAATGGAAGATGAATTCCCTGTGAGGTGCAAGTAAACAGATGCTTAATAAAGATGGCACAGCTTTTCAATCTGAAACTCTACCCGGGGGGTTTCAGACATCCTGTGGGCTGGATGGGGAAGGGGCAAGTGGAAAGGGGCAGGCCCAGTGTTAGATTGCGTGGTGTGCCTGCGGAGGGCAGGTAGTTTGTGCAGAAAGTTTAGAAGTAGCGCAGTAAGCTTTGGAGGGGGATACTGAATCTCAGAGATAGCTGGCAAGGGAGTTCCTCTTTTGCTAATCAGTCTCATTAGTTTTGAGCCATGCTAATACAAATAAAAAATATTTTGAAGTCAAAAGGCTATTAGTATTGTTTTTTCCTTTGGACTTTTTCTCTTGTGCTCTCCTAATACCTTACATACTATTTTATTACACACCAAACACGTTCCCTTGGCTTTATTATTATTGTGCTGCTTTGGATACTTTGTCGTCCTCCGTGAAATTAATAAATGCTCTTCTTTCCCTTCTAAAACTTAAACATTTATTTTTCTTTCTCTTTCTTTAAATATTTAGAGATGAGTCTTTAAAAAATAGTCTTCTCAGTGTTGTAGTTTCTCATTCTTGGGGCCTGCATGTATCACAGTGATGGACTCAACTTCTGGGAAACACAAATATCAGTAACAGACAGTCACAGTGTCATTTTCTTATAACTAATCAGTTTACAACCAGCCTTAAGTTGAGATTGGTTCATTCTGAGCTCATTTTGTTTTTTTCCTCATGATATGCACATTTGTCTTAGGTACATACTTACACACATCCCAATTTCTGTTGAGCACATGGGAACGTATGACATGCCGGGTATTTTGTTGAGTACTTTTTAAACATTAAACTCAATCTTTACTACATCCCTCAGAGAGAGGTTTTGTTATCAACCCCCCTTTAAAGATCTAAAAACTGACACACAGATTCCTGATTACCCCAGATTTGACAGGGAAGTGGCTGGCAGAAGCTGGATTCAAATACTGGCAGCCTGGTTCCTGACTACTTCTTTAGTTGGTCATTTTTTAAAATCAGTAAGAGATAACCTATTTTTATTTAACTCAGAAGAAAGTTTCACTTCTCATTTCATCCTTTTACTCTCACTCCATTTTGTTTATTTGTTTTGAGTTTTGGATACTTTTCTAGGCATGCTTTCGAAAATGTAATACCCATGAGGGGAAGCTTGCATGATACTAATGAGGCTCATTGTTTTCTGTTGACAGGGAAGCCTTATCATCATCAAAGCTAAAATTCCAACATATTGCTCCATATGTTGTTGAAGAAGGGAGACGACAAAAATCTTACTACCTGGCGACAGGTGTTAAACGCTGGCTGTGGATACCTGTGGAACCTTCGCAGATTCACTCAGTATATTTTGTAAATCACAGCCACCATTCATTATTTACCAGTTTAAGATGAATATACATAATTCCACTGAATCACAGTAAGTTATTCAACAAAAAAGAATGATTAATAGTGGAAAGCTATTAAAGTTCTATAACACGACAGTTATGAAGCATTTATTGTTCATATTTTTATGATTTGTGTGAACAACCATTACTGGGTTTATAGTAGAAGTGTTTGCATTTATTTTCTAATGCCTTTTACTTATAACATCCCTTTTGCAATCAGTTTGTAACTATACACTTATTTTTAAATATTTTGCTGTTTGGGGATTTTATATTTATCAAGGCTATGGAAATTTAAAATAGTGGACAATTAATAATTCACTATTAATTATTGTTTGTAAATATGTCTTTTGCAATGTAGAATGCTTGGGAAAATTTCTTTCCAGAGTATTCTAGTGTAAGAATTATTTTTTAATGTGTAAATTCTCTAGTAAGTATGTTGTTTATTACAACTCATTAAAACTACCTAAACTTTAGGTGTTAGTTGTAGATAAGTAAATGTTATGTTTGTATTTCATAGTCTGAGTTCAGTACATGAAGAGATTCAGAAATGAAAATGTTAAAACTCTCACATATTTAGTGATTTGTTGTGCTTGCTTATGTTGAACAATTAGATTTTAAAAGTTTTTGAAATTTACAGGCATCATTCTGGGTGTTGATGTAAAAGCTGACTGGGTCATCTGCAAGAGACAGGAGTAGAAGAGAAACAGAAAACAAGACTAAGACCTTTCACCTTCAGGGCAAGAAGAGAGCCCCTAGAAACTCAGTAGTCACACCAAAGCCCAGCTGACTCTCACTTCCAAAGGTGGACATCAGGGGTCACTCTTACATAGGGGAGCAGTATCATATTCCAGAAGCGTCAGAAGAAACCCTGTTTTTGCTCCTTCCCTCCAATACCTGGAGAGACCTCTTTGCACTCTCCCTTTAACTAGTCTTACAGCTGTGATTTAAAAGAATGCAAGTAATTTCTGAAGCGTCATAAGTGTGAAAATGCTTGTCCTCCTTTAGATCTGCTGTGCTTCCTGGTTCCCTGTCGGGTACGCTCTTTCCTCAGGTATCACTTGTCACATCCTCAGGTCATGTAGTTACAACATCCGCCTGACCCCTGCCTCACTTTCAGTCTTCCTCATGCACTGGGCGCTGCCCAAAGCAAAGATTTCTACAATCTAGAAAATGACATAAGCAAAAATATTTTTAACCTAGTAATTACAAAATTTGTTGGAATAAAGACCTATAAGATACAGTAGAGTTATAAACATTTTATTTGCTTTATTTTCTCTTTTTGAAATACAAAATGTGCACATTGAGTTTACACAAACACGCGATGGCGAATCAGTGTACATGTACTGTACTACTCTTAATTTCTACACTGGTGATAGCAGGGCAGCTTCCACATCCTATCTCTACACCAGAATAGATACCTGATTTATTGTTGCAAAACAGTTGCAAGTTTCCTCCTACTGTAGCTTCTTGGTGATATTTCTGCAAAACAGGGAAGATGTTTGTATCTTTAGTAGTGTTGAGGCAACTTTACAATTTTGGCTTGAGAGTGTTGAAAAGATCTGAATTATTGGAGTTTTACGATGACCTAAATCATAATACAGTTAGGATGAGTTGCTTAGCACATACTCATTTTCAACTCGATTTTGGTGTTGGCATCCTGGCCATAATGGAATCACTGGGTCTGTCAACGTGATTCTGCTGCTGTCTCTTCCCAGCATGCACTGGGGTAGTCAAGGTGTCTGTCCCTGATGGCATGGAATAATGAGGCGCCACGAGGGACGGGAGGGGATGCAAGAGGCTTTCACTGCTGTTAAAAATTAATTCTCATTAAGCATTCCCAGGTACTGGAGACGGATATCCTGACCCTTGGCGTATGCCTATAAACACCCTCACGCTGTCTCATACCTTCTTGGACTTCCACTTAGTGACAATAGAAAACAGCCTGTAGGATTGAACAAATCCAAAATTATATACATCGTGTAGGCCTTGGCTTAATATGTGTTTATGAAAAATTAAGAAATGCTTATTAAATAAGCTGTTAGGAGTATGCTGACATCTGGTAATAAACTAATTTGTTTCATATTATTTCAAAAAACCAAAAACGCCAGATAAATGAATGTCTAACAGAAGGCAGCAAATCCATAGGAACTGGGACTATGTGTTTGCTTTCTTAAATTGTGGGAATTGGAATTACAGCATACAAACATGAAAATTAATTTCCAGAAATTAAGTGCAGATGCCAATATTTTAGAAAACCATTTAAAATCCTGGGGTTGGATACATACAAATGAGGAGCAAAAAACATTTTAAAATTACCGATAACGTGAAAGCCTCAATAATCCCATGGCTAAAGTGTCAATAAAACTACTTGCCAGGTTCTACCCCTTTGAATGTGCACAGGGTGGGAAAGGACTTGGACGGGCCGGGAGCTTGGAGGCATAAAGATGATGCAGATTTAAAAGTGAACTCTAATCTTTTGGGGACTGCTCCATATGAAGACAAAGCTGGTCTGCATAATGTGCCTCAGTGTCAAGCTGGGCAGCCTATGCTAAAAGTGGCAGCTCCGACGTTAAGTGGTGGAGTCGTTCACGTTTGTCTGATTGATTGAGGATGCATTTGACAAGTTAAATCACATTTTCAAAGAGCTGCATGGAGCGCATTATGTTTTCATCCTGTAAGGGAGAAACGGGTTAAATTCAGCATATGTGCAAGGAAAGAACAGCAAACCCTCACTTAACGTCATCGATAGGCTCTGTGGCCAAGCGAGGTGATGTGTAAGGAAGCCAATTTCACCATAAGCTAATTGATACAAATAGGAGTTAAGTTCCTATGGCATCTCAGAGTTATAATGAGACAATGTTGAGTGAATGACATTGAAGGAAACTTATTTGAGGGCCTGCTGCACCATTTTGCCTAAGTACTGCCTTTCTCCAACACCAACTATGCCCAAAGCTCAAATGCTAAGTGTTTGCAGATGTGAACAGCACTCTCTTCATGCTCCATGTAGACAACTGGAGAGCCCATTTTAGGTTTTTTTGAGTCTACCAGACTTTAAACATTTCATTCAAATCTTACTTCGTGTTAACAGGATATTTCTCAAATCAGAACACCAGAATGGAAACTCGAGAGAGGTAAGACAAAATGAGGAAATGCAAATTTGGGCATCCAGGTGAATCACAGACTTGAACATGTAGAAGGAAACGGGGTTTGTGTGTAAGAGCCAACTTCATGAAGACTGGAGCTTGGGGCTTTGGGACATGTTTGCAGTAATTGCTCCTGTTTCTGGATATGCTAGGGCTTTTTCTATAGATTTCAGAGAGAGGGAGAGGGAGAGAAACATCAATGATGAGAGGGTGGTCATTGATTGGCTGCCTTCTGCACGCCCCCGACTGGGGATTGGGCCCACAGCCCCTGCATGTGCCCTGACCGGAATCAAACCATGATCTCCTGGATCCTAGGTCAATGCTTAACTGCTGAGACACACCCGGCTGGGCTGTTAGGGCTGATTCTGTGTGGCTTTTAGGAGCCTTTAAAAATGAATGGGCTCTCCCGGGCCGGTGTGGCTCAGTTGGTTGGGCATTGTCCTGTGCACCAGGAGGTTCCCTGTTCGATTCCTGATCAAGGGCACATGCCTGGGTTGTGGAATCGATCCCGTGCAGGAGGCAGCCAATTGATGTTTCACTCTCATGTCAATGTGTCTCTCCCTTTCCCTTTCCCTCTCTCTAAAAATCAATAAACCATTCTTAAAAAAAAGAAAGAATGGTCTCAAAGTCAGAGAAAGAATTGTTTGGGAAAAAACATTGCCCGGTGACTGTATTTGGTTTAGCGTATTCCTTAAAAACATAAGGGACAGGCCTCGGGCATTACAGCGCCCTTGGAGATTGCATGTGAGTGGCTCTCAGTGAGCTTTTTATACTGTGGCAAGTGGTAGCTGGACTAAAGATGGCCTGCACTCCTAGAAGCGGCAGCACTGAGCAGGTGGATGCCATCAAGTTAATTCTCTCCAAGTCCACCAGCTCAGAAAAAGCTTAGACACAAGCAGGCACCGGGAAAAGGAAAGTATAAAAATTCATAAATAGAATAGCTAAAGCACCAACAAACTTTGTTGTCTATATTTATTTTTTAAATTCTTAATTGTGGTTCTAGCCACACATTGAGTCAAATAATTCTAGGTCAGCTAAAACTGGCCTCCTGCCAGGTGACAGAGAACCAGCCTGAGTTCTCTGAATTTACTACTCTGTTTTTGTGAATGAAGACCATTACTGCTTCAGTCAAAAGCCATTTATTGTCCACATATATTAAAGCAATGGTGTTTCTCTTAGAAATCAGCTATAATCTTGGCCTGTGATGAATCCTTAGCTGTACCAGAATCCTAAAGCTATGGAGATACAGTAGATAATATGCATGTTATCGGCTAAGTCTAGGCAAAGAGCAGTTTAAAACTCACATGTGTTTTATTCGCAGTGATAGGTACTCTCTAAAGGGTTTAGGGAACAAAAACTCAGTCTATGTGCAACTTTTGCATCCCCAGGACTTACCTACACAGCTGTAGGCACTCTACAAATGCTGAGCAGTTGAAGGTAGAAATTGGTGATTGTTTCACAGTGTGGGCTGAGCTGTATAAAAGTGGTAGACTTTGCATATGATCTTTATATTTTGCTCACTTCATGGTGGCTAGCTTGCAGTTCTCAGTCTAGATGCCATGAAAGCAAAGGGGATGGTTCCTTTACTACCGGTACTTACTTTCTGGCAACTTTCGATGAACTCATCTATAGTAACCACTCCATCTTTATTTTTGTCCATTTTCTGTTCAGAAAGAACAAAAAAACATTATTTAGACTTACCCCGTGATACCCTCACACCTGAACTGAATGAGCTGAAGCTGATAAAGAAAAAAACAGAAAAAAAGCCCGCTGCTGGTCTATTGGGAGGAACAGCCGCAGGTCATGGACTAGTAATTTCCTAGCAACAGGAACCACCGGCTGACTTCCAGCCCTTTCTTGTCAGTAGAAGGTGGTGACGATCTAGTCACCGACCTAGGTAAAATCCTGCGCTCCAGCTGTGCCAGAGCTTGGGCGCTTTGCTGAGCCTTTCAGAGCCTTGGTCTTCTCATCTGTAAAATGGGGCTAATGAGGATTTATAACCTCAGGGTTCTCGAGAGAACTGAACACACACAAAAAAAACCCAAAAACATGAAACATGGCAATCGCTTAGTGTCCTATCTAGGACATCGTGAGTGTTCACTAAGTGCAGTTATCTGTATTATAATAAATTCAAAACCAAAACTATTGTTAGGGTGGCGAATATTCTATTGCCTTTTCTCTTTCAGGAAACGGTCTTTTCCTTTATATTCTTATGAACCATCATGACACTTTGAAAGCAGAAACTGCCCTCTTACTTCCTCTCCGTTTCTCTCTGGCTCCCGTTTGCCTTCCTACCTGGAAAAATGTCTCCACGTGCTGTCTGGGCGCATCTTCCTTGAGGACGGGGTATGTGCATTTACCCATCATGTCGTATATCGCTTTCATGATATCCAGCATCTCCTGCAAAGCAAAGGCACGCTCGTGAGGCTGCAGGCACCGTCAGGACACCCCAAGAAGCTTAACAGGCTCTTCCCGCTCAGTTCCAAATTTCTTCTTGGATTACTCATTAGCTGCCTTTTGGTTGTGAGGAGAAGCCAACAACTTTGTGCTTTAAAAGCAGCGGAATCAGAACGTGAGATCATTTCTGATCTTGGCTTCAAAATGAAGCAGATTCCCACGTATGGAACATGGTTGGAAAGGGGGCTCTGGTTCAGTGTTTGGGTTTCTGCAGACTGCAAGGCAGGACCTTTGTTTTATTGACTTATTATAGATCTTACACGCTTATTATCAATTTGTTCACTGAGAATAAAATATAACTCCACATGAGAATTATGTAAAACTAAGTCTCAAAGCTCATTAGGGTTTTCTTTTTTTTTTTTCCTACTATGGCTTCAACTGAAGAACTCACAGGTATAGATTAATCAAAATATTATAACTGAGAAACATCTTGAAATCTCATTTTATTAAAACAAAGTCTAGTTTTTAACTTATTTTCAATCTTAGTGAACATGATATCTAATTATCTAGACATTCAGGTTTATTGTTTCACATTTGTTTCCTTCATACTGAATTTTCCACAAACATCTGGATTAAGTTGATAATATTTACTTTTGAGAGTATTCAACTCTATTATAAATGATAAACTAGTCTGTAGTTTACAAATGATAGGTGAAACTTTTAAAGGTCTTTTGAGCTTAGTTAAGTAGAAGTTCGCCACAGGCAGAATTGTGAGATGTGCTAGGTGCACGTAGCAAGAACAGCACGTTCGTGTTACACACAGAGAAAGGGATTAAAGGACCAAGAAATGCTTAATGTCCCTGAGGCATCTGAGTACTAAGTACTTAAAATATACAGGAGGCACTTAGTATTTAGGATATGCTCTGTATACATGAAAATTTAATATTCATGAGGTCTTAATTCAGCCACCCATTGATGAGAAACATTCTGGCCCCGTGTGTCCTCTGCTCGAGAAACAGAAATAAAACCCAGGGCCACTGACCAGGCTAATTGTGTTGCTATAGCTGTGGTCAGGTGCACCTGTCCCTTTTTCTCCAACAGAGCAAGCTCATGTCACTGTCCCAGACACCTTTTACTTGAGGGGCCTCTTGCTCATAACTCACCTCTGGGGAAAACCACTGAGGCGGAGAGAAAGACGGCATGAGACTATTGAGCCCTCCCAGGACTCAGGTGATGCCATCCGTGGGCCCCACTGGCACCTTATCCTGAGTCTGGTAACTCAGCCCGTCCGTTTCCCTTGCTTCTCACTGTGTTTTAACTGATTTAATGAACCATTTGATATAAACCTCTTATTTGGTCTGCGGCCCTCCTTTCTTGCATAGCCTGCCTAGCAGTGTTTGCGGCGGTCCCCCATTCCATGAGGTCCTTTTCCTCACAGTACAGGTCGTCACACAATCTATATGACTTTAAATTGCATCTGTTTCCATGCGGATCACATTATATAGGGTGGGGGGGTCACAGGCCAAATATGCTCACATAGTTTGGATACATTTCCTTCCTATCTCATTCCAACCACAGTCTATATTTCATTCACAGTGTTTACTAAAATGCCATTAGGAAACAAGAGTATAATCTTTACACGTTTTCTATCTACAGTACTTTGCAGATTCACTGTAAACTATTCCTATCCATTCCAGATTTTTTATTAGAATATTCCTCTACTGCTACATAAAATATTTTAGATTTCCTGAAAAGGCTATTTTCAAATTAATAATTGCAAGTGTTTAACATTTTGAAGTTAAAAAATGAAAATGTGGCAAAGGACAGCTGCCGGTGAGGTATTTCTTACTTCTTTAGTGATGTAGCCGTCTTTATTTATGTCGTACAAATTGAACGCCCAGTTGAGTTTTTCTTGTACTGTCCCCCGGAGCAAGATGGAAAGACCCTTGATGAAATCCTAAAAAGAAATAAAAAATACAATGTGATATGATAGTTCTACAAACATAAAATACAAACTCGGATGAAACTCTCCCTTAAATGATGGAAGCAAGGGTTACAACCCACTGGATTTGGAACCGTTTATTTAGCAACATTATCCTTGTTCTCAGTTATTTGTTCCCCAGAGTTCTTTGTGAGCATAAACCACCCCTTACAGCCAACATTCTCATCTTCTAATTGAAAACTGACTTGACTTTGGAATTGGAAACTGTGTCAGAACAGATAACCACAAACAGTGAGATGCCTGCTATAGGTGGTATTGGTTTTCCACCGCAAGGACATGCAATTCTGCTGGAAGTAATCCAATAACACAGTGTCCTTCACAATACAAACACATAACACCCTGTGAAAAGGATCTGTTAACGGGACGTGAGGACTGCCCTGAAGATACGGGCCAACTGTAGCCTTTACTCAGCAGTAAAGTTATAATGTGCACTGTAGGCTGTGGCTACGAGCGTGGAGCTGGGAGCCAGACCTGAATTCAAATTCCAGCTTTGTCACCTAAGAGCTTTGTGTTCTCAGACATCCCCTTGCCTCAATTTTCACATCTGTAAAATGGAGATTATAGCATCTACTTCTTAAAGTTGGGGGTACATATAGGGTTTGAAGTAAATTTTGAAGTTTTCAGATCAACTTTGCAGATTTTGTTATTGGGAAGTTGGGGTATTGCTTTCCCCACTGAGCACTGGGGGGAGAAAGGGGTTGTGGCCACGCCCATTCTGGCCAATGACCTCTGTTCCCTGGTGTAACTGACAGGCAAGTACCTTTGCTGGTCCCCCCAACTTTACTGGGCATGCATCTGTCTATCTCCCCTCTGTTGGACCCCTGGGGAGTAAACAGCTGCAACTTCCTGGCAAAGCTGCCCAAACGACATGCCTATAATATCTGGCCTTCCCTTTGCTCCATTCCAGTTATTAATAACTAGTTAATTACAACAGTATCAACTTGATCAGTGCTTGTGACGAGTCTCCTGCTCAAGGCTGTAGAACACCTTTCCCTTGTTCAAGTCATTTTTGTCACTGAGCATATTGGTTTCCCATTGTTGCTGTTAGCAAGTTCCCGCAAACTGAGTGGTATAAAATAATACGTATATCAACATACGGTTCTGGAGTCAGAAATCGGGACTGGGTTTCACGGGGCAGAAATCCAGACGGAGGCAGAGCTCCCTCCCTCCAGGGGGTGTAAGGAGAGAACATGCTCCCTGAGCTGCTCCAGCTTCCAGAGGCCACCCACAGGGCTTGGCCTGTGGCCGCTCCCTCCAGCCTCACAGCACATGCTCCAACCTCTGCTCCTGTTGTCATAGCGTCTCTCTTACCCCAGTCTGTCTGTCTCCCTTTTGTAAGGACCCTTGTAATCACACTGGGCCCACCCAGAGCATCCAGGATGAACTCCCCATCTCAAGGGCCGTGGTCACATCTGCAAACCTTCTTTCCATGTAAGGCAACATGGCCACAAGCTCCAGGAATTGGGATGTGGACATCTTGGGTGAACCATTACTCGGCATACCAAACTCCGGTATGTTCTAGATCTTTGTTTTCCCCTCCAAACTGCTTGTTCATATTTCCTAATCATATTTATTTCTAGATATTTTAGTCCTATTGCTATTGTACATGAGGTATTTTCTTCTATTATAGATTCTAAATTTTGTACAGTATACATGAAAGCTATTGATTTCTGTATAACAATTTTGTATGCCAACTGAGGGTTCCTACTGGGTTTTTCATGTATGTGATCATATTAGCTACAAATGGAGTTAATTTTACCTCTTCTTTCTAATATTCACATTTTTAATTACTTTTTTCTAAATGTATTGAATAATACTCCCCGAACAACATTACATAATTACCATAATAGCAGACACCCTTATTTTGTTACCGATTTAATGAGGCTATTTCTAGTGTTTTTACAGTGAGCATGATACTGACTTTTATTAGGTTAAAGAAGTAGATACAATTTTTACTTTATTAGAAAAATGTATCAAACACGACCATTGCCCTCTTTTGCAATAAATGGAAAAGCGGATCTTCAAACTCATACGGAATTCCAAGGGGCCCCAAAAGGCTAAAACAATATTGAAAAAGAAAAAGAAAAAGAAAAAAAAAAGCTGGAGAACTAGAACTGTCAGCTTCGAAGCGCCTGGCCAGCGGGGAGTGGCCCAGCGGCTGAGCAACCACCTGGGGTCCAGGCGCGCCGGTTCGAGTCCCTGTCAGGGCCGGAATGGGTTGCGGGCTCCATCAATGACTCTCATCATTGCTGTGTCTGTCCCTCTCTCCCTCCCTTTCCCTTCCACTCTCTGAAATCAATAAAGATATATTAAAAAAAAAAAAAAAA